AGGTGACACCAGTGAGCCATTAAGATGATGGCAATTAAGTTAAGCTGTGTATAATTGCTGTGACTGGATGATGCTGGATTGAAACACGTTGTGTATTCAGTTGTATATAGACCCCTGCTGCTGCTGCCTCAGGCGCCCGCTACTTTTGAGTTCTCGCAGAGTTCCCGTTGAGTTCTCGCGGAGCCCGGTTGAAGGCTGGGAGAGTTCCTGGGGAACAGGAGTGGATTGCCGGTGAGAGTTCGGGCAATAAAGTAGTTCCTGTTTGAACCTACAAGTGCCTCGTGGAGGCTCGGTTATTTGTGTCCAGCCAGACTGCGGCAATAATAGACTATTATTATTCAAACTTTAAAAGGAAGAATATTCTGGCATATGCTACAAAATGGATGAATTTTAAGGACTCTTATAACTTAAGGATTCTTATAATTACAAGTGAAATAACAATGTCAAAAAATACTCTATGACTTATAATTCTACTTATATGAAGTACTTAGAATAGACAAAACCATGGAAAGAGACAGAAGAATGGTGGTTGCCAGGTGAAGCAGGAAGTTACTGGGCAGTTATTTTTAATTGTTACAAAGTTTCACAGATGTATGGCATCATGAATACATTTAATACCCAATGGACTGTATACTTAAAAATGGTTAAGATAATAAAATTTGTTATGTGTATTTTTTATCAAAATACAAAATTAGAAGAACAACAAAAACAAAAAAAAATAGTTAAGTTGAAAATAATCTTAGAAACCCTAACTACTAATTACTTTGCTAATGAACAAAAAAAATTAATATCTAGAGTTTAATGACTTGTTCAAAGTCACATAATTAATTAGCTTTGGTTGACTAACATGTGAACTCAACTCTTCTGAATACCAAGGCTGTGCTTTCCCTATTGATCTACCTGCAACATCAAAAGAAATACATAAATATACTTAAGTAATGCTTTTATATTGCCACACATAGTACTGCAATATACTTTACCTAAAATGTTACAAAAGAAATACTGAATTGTTGGACTTTTTCCTTACCAAATGTCAAGTAACATTTATTGCTTTTAAAGCAAAAGTCTGTAGCTTGCTTATATATATAAACTGAGAAAGTTTTTCATACAGTTTCATCCTACTTGAAATATTTTCTATATTTATTGATTTGAGAATGTTAACATGCTGAAAACAAATATTAAGTAATGCCTGGTCTATAGCTAAATTTACAGTAAGTATACAAAAAGGCCACTAGTATAATAAAAATATTAAGAAAAACTCTTATAATGTCGTTAATCTTAACAGTATAACATTACTATAAGGTAAAATATCATTAAGATAAAGACGGTTTAATCACTGTACAAATGGAGTTTATTGATCTATCATAAAATGAGTTTATTGACAAAACAGCTTAAAGTATTATTTGCAGTTATACAAGTGTGCTTTGAAAATATTATACTAAGAATAATTTCTAAGAGTTTAATTAGACTATCAAGAAGTTACTGAACATGTGTTGAATTTTTTAGATATTTTAACTGCTAACAGCAAAGCAGATGTGTATTATTTTTGACTCATAATTGATTTTTGTTTTTGAGAGAACTATTAATGATCAATGTTATTACAGAATCCTTTCTGAGATATCAAATGGAGATTTAKCCACCTGATTAGCACTTCAAGTATTATGCCAGTCATTTCCTCAGATATCGTATACAACAGGTTTTCAAAAAATGAAACGCTTAAAGATGAGAAAAACATTACATGAGGATAAGTTAATCTTATCAATCTTACCTAATTACATGTTTCCTCCCCAGAAGCTAAAAGCTTAGAGAAAATTTTATTACTTTTGTTAAGGGAAGTAATAGAGTGTCATGAAGAAGAACATGGACCTATAGATCAGAAGATAAAGGTTCAAATCCTGACTCTATCACTCTTGGCTGTGTTACCTTGTGGACATATTTTCTTTATTTGTAAAACATGAATTATACCTACTTTGTAAATTAAATGTAAAGATTAAATGAAATAACATGGAAAACAAAGTACGCAGTCATGAAAGACAAGACTGGGGAACTACTGACAGAGAYTGGAAGAGGCTAAGAGGATATGAATGTAGTAACTAAGTAGCAAGAGATCCTAAGACAGGACATTAATGGAAAAACTGGTGAAATTCTCATAGTCTGTAGTTTAATAAGCCAATATTGTTTCTTTAGTTTTGATTACCGTTTCATGGTTATATAAAATGTTAACATTAATTTAAAAAAAAGTCACAGACTTTATCCTTCTCTTCCAATGTATGTATATCTTTCTTAATAGCAAACTGAGTGAATAAAATTATTTTTCCCAAAACAATTCTATTGGATAGAAAATGACTGTATGAACACTATATTTGGAAAAACAAAAACATCATTTAAAGTTTAAGAAAACCCCATCATAGACAATTAAAACAAAGTGTTTTAAATTATCTCCTGGTTTATTTTCAAACTGGTCATACAYACTATAAAACACAAGGAGCATATTCAAAGAAAAATTCTGCCCTATTTTTAAAACAAATTTTATTTTAATGATACTGTCAAACTGGAAACAACTCAGYATTTAATTTTTAAAATAAAAAAATTTATGCTGACCTAGAAAAATCTGACTCATCTAYGGTTATAAGGAAGAAAAAACATCAGTGTGAAGTTCTCTATAGGTTTATTTCCCTATATCTTATTTTTAAATACAACTGAAACATAAATCAGAGAAGTTTTAAAAATGTGTCTTAAGCTATAATTTTGATACAGGCAAAAATTTTAGAAGTACTTTCTAATATCATTTAAAAGGAAATTTTATGTATTTACTCATAATAAATTTATTATTTTATTCATCAGTCTCAGTCTACAAATCAGATAGATACTTTTCAAATTCAATTCAGGTTAGACCAAAACTAAACACAACATGCCTCATTAACATATTAAAGCTATCAAGATTATCATCTCTTCTACAACTTAATTTTATCATCTTTCATAATTCAAATGTATGAGCATTCTAAGTCCATACTAATTTAAATGTAAAATGCATGATAGTATAAAAAGATGCAGTTTTTTTTTAAATCACYGGATTTTACCTTATAAAAAGTAAACTTTATAAAGTTTTAAAAATGCCTTGTAAGATTACAAGCTAACAAAGATACCTTATACTAGTCTATTAAGAAACCAAATATATATCAGTTTAGGCATAAAATAAACTGCTTTTGTGATATAAATTATGATATAAAAGAAGGTTTTTWTCAGCTGGGCCTGATAGTGAACACCTGTGGTCTCAGCTGTACTTGGGAGGCTAAGGTGGGAGTTCAAGGCCGCTTACACAACATAGAAAGACCTTGTCTCAATAAAGAAACAAAACAAAAAGAGACTGTTTTTAAAATCAAATAGCACTTTACAACATGAAGATTATAGAAACTTACTTAAAAAAAATTACTTGGAAACTCGCAAAAAAAACCCAAAAAATAAAAACAAAAACAAAACAAGACTAAGATACCCACCCTGCTGATTTTAATGCTCCAAACAGAGAAATTCCTTTACTTTGAATATGGCACACTTTTACAATATGATTTTTGCCCCCTTCAGCTGAGATTCCTAAGAAACATGGTAAACATTTTATACTTTCTAAGCTCAAATTTAAATTTCTTCTATTTCAAGTTTTAAATACYTATTATTTCAGTAATCACAAACAAGTAAACTCAACCCTCAATATCCACCAGGGATGAGTTCAGTACCATCCCCCACCAAAGGATACCAAAATATGTGAATGCTGAAGTGCCTCACATAAAGTGGCACAGCATATGACATAACCTACACATACCCACCCATAACTGTAAATCATCTCAAGATTACTTATAATATCGACTACAATGTAAATGCCATGTTAATAGTTGTTATACTATACTATTTAGGGAATAATCATATGAAAATTAAGTTTGTACAAATTTTTTGAGAATGTTTTTGACTTAAGGTTGGTTGAATCTGCCAAAGCAGAACTCTGAGATATATAGGGCCAACTATATAAATGATTCAATTTAAATCTCACAGAGAAACGTAATTCCAACTTTACCCATTAATGTAGTTATAAATGGTAATATAATTGCAATTCTTTTCATTTAAAAAACTCCTGTAAACCAATTATTTTATATTAGGTCAGATATTAAACGCATATAATCATTAATTCCAAAATATTACCAGCTTTTAAAAAATCTGCTAGAAAAGGTAAAACATAATTAATTTATATGAATACATTTTTAGAGCAGGAACAAGCCTGACCTTTATCATATAAACTATTGTTTTTGAAAATATAAGCAAAATTAAGAGTTATAGTCAAAAATAAACCCATGACATGTAACTGCTTATAGCATTAGGTCTTACTTTTAAAACCAATTATTCCAGAAAACTAATATCTCCTCTAAGAAATTATATAGATATTTCACTTCAAGATGCTAGGTTTGGTGTAGATATATACATTTCTTAACATACATATTCAAACTTTGAGTTAGTTTTTATATGATAACCCTTACTGAAAACTAAAATCAGCTATCATTTCACACATAATTACTCAGTACAGTAAGATATCACGATTCAATATTCTAGGCCAAGAGCAAACTTTCCTCAAGAGACAGATTTTAGGCATGTGAAATCTACAGACACTATTGCAACTAATGAACTCTTCCACAATAATGATAAGGTAGCCATAGATGGTATGTAATAAAGGGGTGTGGCTATGAGCCATTAAAACATTATTTACAAAATAGGTGGCCAGGGCTAATTTCTATTATAGGCAAAAAAAAAAAAATTTGATTTTCAATACATAAGACTTTCAGTGAACATAAAATCATGTTTCACTTCCATCTGATAGTTGTTACAAGTATTTAAATGATAAAGGGACCATGAAATTTTTTTCTGAGCTCAGAATCTCCAGTTAAACTAGGAAATTAAAATGCTAATAAAACATTAAAATATAAAGGGTACAATAATATTTTATTAAGTAATCTTACCTTAATCAAATGAAAGAATCTAAACTCTRATATATTTCTGGCTTCAATTCAAAATATAGTTGAGTCAAAATTTGTTTCTTGTTAAATTCCTAGAGAAACAAAATTAGAAACTTTTAAGTCAGGTTCCAGTTGCAGATAAAATGGAGTAATCACACTCCAACCTCCCTCTCCAAGTGCACATAGCTACAAAACCTGGATAGAATGCCTGGAACAGCTACTTAAGAACTCTAAAARGTAAACAGTAGCAGGCAGATTGTATAAGAGCATCAGAATTTAAAGTACCACTGATGCAAAGATAGGTTACCATTTTGATCCCCTCTGGTATCATCCAGCCTGAACTAGAGCAATCCAAATGGAAAGCTTCAGGGGAGGCCCTCTAGCTGTGACTAGAAGAGAGGGAAAATGGTCTTCTAACATTCACAAGAAAATGTGGAAATCTTTTTTCTTTCCCTTTTCTTTCCATTCTCTCAGCCCAGCCATGTGTGGCAGCTGCAGCAACAGKAGAATGGAGTCCTAAAATTCTGAGGGAGAACTTGCAGTCAGAACCTAACTGGGTGGACTGCCTACTAAAACAAATACATCAACATTCTGCATTGGATTTAAAACAAGATCCAAAATCTCATATTATGTAGTTAAATGTTCAGGATATAATCCAAAATTACTAGGAAAAAAAAAAACAGGAAAATTTCAACTTGCCTGGGGAAAAATGCCAACACCAAGAACAGATGTTGGAATTGTTGATGAAGATATTAAAGTAATTATCACAAAGTGCTTCAACAAGCAAGAACATTCTTGAAACAAGTAGAAAGACAGGAAGGCTCAGCAAAGAAATAGAAAATATAAAAAAGAATCTAATAGAAATCTTGGAAATTGAAAAATATCAATAACCAAAAAAAAAGGTTATTAAATAAACTCAACAGAATGGAGATGACAGAAGAAAAAAAATCAGGGAATTTACTACTGATAGAAGTTATCCAACCTGAACAACAGAGAGAAGAGATTGGGGGGAAAAATGAAGAATTTTTTTGAGCTTGTTACACCCAAATGCTAGCAAGGGAAAAGAAAGCTTATATAAATAAAAACATTTTTAAGAAAATGTATAAAAAATTCAATGTAAAATGAATATAACATGTATATCATAAGGTATGTAATACTGTCTACCCTCTCTATATATAGGTTCTGCATGATAGATTCAACCAGTGGATAAAATGTACGTAAAGTAGTATTTAGTGGATAATTTATGGCATTAAAAATATTTTTATTAGAAAACCAATGGCAAAATTAATAATATACACTTCTACTTTAAGAAACAAGAAAAAGAGGAGCAACTTAAACACCAGCAAACAGAAGGAATGAAATAATGAGAAGAAATCAAAGAAATTAAAAAGTGTAAAATAATACAGAAAAAAATCAATAAAACAAAATCTGGCTCATTAAAAAAAAAAATCAACACCAGTCTTCCTAGCAAGAYTGACAAAAACAAAACGAGGAAATCTTATTGCAAACCCCACAAACATTTAAATGAAAATAAGGGTATACTATGAACAATTCTATGCACACAAATTTAACAACTTAGATTAAATGAATCAATTCCCTGAAATCACAAAGTACCAATACTCATTCAGGATATAAGCTGCATAATTTCATAACTATTGACTAAATGGAATCTGCATAGTTTCATAATTATTGAATAAATGGATTCTGTAGGTAAAAACCTTTTTTTWWAAAAAATGGAAACAACCAGGTACATGTGGTTTCATTTAACTATCCAAATATTTTAAAAAGAAGTAACACCAGACTGATAAGATTGGTATGGAAGAAAGACAACTATTTGCAAATGATATTATACAGAAAATTTCAAGGAATACAAATATACACACAACCTACTAGAACTAATAAATAACTTTATTAAGGTCAAAGAATATAAGGTCAACATCAACCACATTTYTACACATTAGCAATTGGAACCCCAAATTTCAAAATTATACCATTCAAAATAGCTCTATAAAAATGAACACTTAGATGTATAAATATAATAATACATACACATGATCTACATRCTAAAAACTACAAAATCTTGATGAAATAAGTCAAAGAATACCAAATATATAGAAGGAAATACTGTGTTCATTAGACTGGAAAACTCAATTCAGTAAAAAGAAGTTAATTTTCCCCAAACTGGTCTACAGATGTAATACAACTACAATCTAAATTCCAGATTTTTTTGTAGTTATATTAGAAGCTGATTTTAAAGTTAATATGGAAAAGCAAAAGACCTAGAGTAACCAAAACCATTTAAAAGAAAATAAAATTGAAGAAATTATACTATTTAATTTTAAGGACTTCAGCTCACTTACCAAGACAATGTGGTATTGGTAATGGTAAAGACATACCAATCAATGAAATAGAGTAGAATGTCCACAAACAGATATCCATAAACATGGCCAACTGACTTTGTTTTGTTTTGTTTTGGTACCAGAAGATTGAACTCAGAGGTACTTGACCACTGGGCCACATCCCCAGCTCTATTTTGCATTTTATTTAGAGAYAAGGTCTCACTGAGTTGTTTAGTRTCTCGCTTTTGCTGAGGCTGGCTTTGAACTAGCAATCCTCCTACCTCAGCCTCCTGAGCTGCTGGGATTACAAGCGTGTGACACTGTGCCTGGCCCAAATGAATTTTGATAAAGGTGCAAGGGACAGTCTTTTGACAAATGATGTTGGAACAACTGAGTATCTAAATGCAAAGAAAAAAGGAAAACTTGACCTAAACTTCTCACATTATACAAAAGTTAACTCAAAATGAATCATAAATCAAAAATGTAAAATATGAAACACACACAAAGAGATGACAAAATCCTTGTGATCTGGAACTAGGCATAAACCACAATCCATATAATAAAAAGTAATAAGTTGACTTTACTGAAATTAAAAACTTTTGCTTTGGCATGATATCTTTATGATAAATAAACTGTAGACAGGGAGGTAATATTTGTAAATCACATGTAAAATAAAGAACTTGCCAGAATATGTTAACTCTCAAAACTCCAAAGTAAGAAAAAAATTTAAGTATGAGCAAAAGCTCATGGATTAGAATAACTAAATTTTAAATAAAATACCAAAAACCTGGCAATACCAAAGGCTACCAAGGATGCAGAGCAATAGAAACTATCATTCATTTATAGTGAGAATGAAAAATGGCTCAACTCCTTTCAAAAACAGTTTGGCACTTTCTTATAAAGTTAAAGTACACACTTACTCTATTACCCAGGAACTGAATTTCTAGCTATTTACTCAAGAGAACTAATAACTTATATTCACCAAAAAATCTGTACATGAATTCTTAATGATGCTTTATTCATAATCATCAAAAACTAGAAGCAGTCCAAATGTTCTTCAATGTGTGAATAAATAAACTGTGGTATACTGATACAACAGAATCTCATACAGGAATAAAAAGAAATGAACTAACTATTTGATTCCTGAAACATGGATAAATCTTAAACGTATTTTGCTAAGTGAAGGAAAACCAAGATATGATTACATTCGTATGACACTCTATAGGAAAAGAAATGAGATTAGTGGTTGTCAGGGGTTGGAAGAGAGAGAAGCAATTGACTACAAAGAGGATATGCTGGGGAAATTTTAGTGTGATGAAATTTGTATGGTCTGTGTGTGATCCTATGCATTTGTCAAAACACATAACTATGTAACAAAAAGACAGAACTTTAATAAATGCAAATTTAAAAAAAATCAATCTACCAAAAAAAAAAAGTCAACTGAGATGTTGGTGGAGTTTCAAAACAAACTGCAGTCTGTGACAAATGAATTTTAACTATATTATAAATTAAAACAAAACCTCACTGAAGAGGTTAGAGCACATTTATTTCATGTTGTGGTACTGGTTAAAGATTCTGATTTGCTTTACTAGAATGGAACAAATAAGTAAATGGATGATGGGAATTGAGTTTCTCACTTTTCAAGAGGAAAGTTACAGATAATCAAGGTGAAGAAGCCTAGAATAAATGCTTTGGTACTGGGTTTCAAATCACACACATGAATTTGGGTGGAAACAAACAATTATACATGTGTATAGATATATGGGCTAGCATACTACACACCTGTATCTCCTAGCTGTGTCTCCTGAGAAGGTCTAGAAACAGTGATATTTTAATAGCAATAAGCCTACCCAGCATCCAGAAACTGGTTTCTTAACACAATTCTCCGATACAAGGAATCTGGATATCTTTGGGGAAAATGGTCGATTCTAGTAGTTTTAGCATTAAGAAAATATACAACAGTCTGTATTATTTTGCAGTGCCAGAAATCAAGTAAGTATGCAAAAAAGACAAGAACATTTGACATTTGAATGTGAGAGAGAGACTAACACTAGAACAATTTTAATAAAATAAGCAACATACACATTGACTTATGATGAGCGTTACATACCCACAAAATCAACATACGTTAAAAATATCCTAGGTTAAAATGCATTTAATACAACTAACTTACTGAACATACGAGCTTAGCTTAGCCYACCTTAAATGTGCTCAGAACACTTAGATTAGCCTTCAACTGGGCAACTTCTTCTAACACAAAACCTATTTTATTTTTAAAATAAATATATATGTATACATATGTGTGTGTGTATTTAGTTGTAGACAGGCACAACATTTAATTAATTAATTAATTAATTAATTAATTAATTTATTTATTTATTTAATGTGGTGCTGAGGATCAAACCCAGTGCCTTACACATGCCAGGCAAGCACTCTTACCACTGAGCCACAGACCCAAAAACATATTTAATAATGAAGTATTGAGTACCTCATGTATATTTTGTTGCATGCATATACTGAAAATGGAAAAGCAGAAAAGTTGTATAGGTATACATCTGCACCATAGTAAAGTTGAAAAATTTGTAAGTCAAACCATCATAAATGGGATACTCTGTATTAGAATAAAATAAACCAATGTAATGAGTACATGTATTGACATAAGTGATTAAATAAATAAATGGAWGAGAAGGAACAAAAGTTTCCTTATAGGATTCCTAATAAGGTWTATAGATACACTCTACCCATAATGTAAA